TAATCTGCCGCGCTAATTACTATCCTAATCACCCAAATGGGTAGTCCCTGTTGCAGGGTGGAACCCGTAAGAGGGCGGCACCCTTATAGAGAGGCCCTAAAGGGGACCCTAATTTAGAGAACTACCCAAATACCGAGTTTCTAGGTCCTTGCTGTTTTGGCCTGTGGGCTTCAGGGTCTAGGTGAATTTAGTTTCGAGAATAGGGCAGGATACCCTAAGCGCCCTACAGTAGAGCCTTATTAATGGGTGTATATATTCGAGGGTAGTTGGGGGGGTCCAGGCAGGAAATGGGCATGAGGGCTATAATTTTGAATAGTTCTGTCCGCACGGCTCCGGGTTTTCAGCTTTGGATAGGGCTTTGTCCTAGGGTGAGGGTTTGACTTTTGGACAGTGTTGGGCTGGTTTGGGGTTTCAGTACGACATGTTCCGATTACTATTCCCTGGGGATCCGGAAACCTACCGTTTTTAAGGGTTCTACCCTCTAATTAAGGGATCATAACCTACTATTTTGTAGGGTTTGGGGCCACAGGTCCAACCTCTTTATTCACTTTTAAGGCACCCATACCACAACAGGTAGTCACGCCTCCGCTCTGACAAGCGTTTTGTCGCAGCCTTCAGAAACTTTAGGACTTTAGGTATCAAGGCATGAAGGCGCCCTTAATCCGGTTTGAGGTTTAGGGTTGAGGGGAAGGGTCCAAGTACCTATTAATCATATACTCTCCCAAATAGTAACCTGCATAGCTATCATCCGAAATCTGAACTCCTGATTATTGGGTCCTTTGGACCCTTCGGGTAATCCTAAGGCCTTACGGTATTCACTTCGGAACTCTAGCTTCCAGAAAGGAACCCCTTTGCGGCCTTTGCAGATACTACATGGGTACATGAACCCATTGGGGTAAGCCTCCCTCGCCCACCGAAGATGAAACCAGGGTCTTCATGGAGTAAGTGTGTACGGCTTGGGTTTAGGATGTGGACTTCAGGGAGTAGGGTCTTGAGTTACGGAAATTGATTTTGGGCCTACCGTAACCCTGAATAACCTACCTTTCTAAGGATTTGTATCAGGAACTCATAATGAGGAGCCCTAAAACGGTAGGTTATTCAGGGTTCAGGTAAAGCCTAAAGGCACTAAGCCCTAAACCCCGAAGGCCCTAAACCCGAAACCCTAAAGCCTAAAGGCCCTAAACCCTAATGAACCATATCGACCCTAAGCTTTGAACACCAAAGCCAACTTGCAGGGACCAGACGACTCGGATCGACAGTGCCTTGGTCAGCACTTCATAATACTAGGGTTTAGGGTTTAGGGTTGATGATATAAATCTGCATTACCTTAAGGACCCTAAACTATGGGAATTATGGTATAAGCCTTATATGGGGTAATGCAGGATTTATATCATCAACCGGAGTACCACTACTGTAAGGATCCGAGTACGTGTTGGTCGTATCCTCTCCCAAAGAGTAACCTACATAGCCACTATCCGAAACCTAACTCCCTCATTGCTGCGGCGCCTGCGGGGCTTGGCTCGTTTTTGCTTCTACTGTTATTGCTACCACTGCCATTACTACTGCTACGGTTGATGATATAAATCCTGCATTACCTTAAGGACCCTAAACTATGGGAACTATGGTATATTCCTTATTATGGGTAATGCAGGATTTATATCATCAACCGTATATCTCGGTATAATGGCCGGAATCGTTGGTAACCTTTCGCACGCGTCTTGGTCGGGTCTAAGAGTGTCGGGTATTCCATGGTGTTCCGCAATCTAAGTCTGGCATCTGCGCCCCCATCAAACCCTAAACCCTCAATCCTCAAATAGGCTTTACCGAAAAGGTATTCTGATTGTAGCAGGGAGGAAGAGGGCCCTTAAAAAAAATCAAATCGCATTCTTCCTATGCAGCTTTCTGTACTAATTACGAAGGTTAAAGTGTGCTGCAGGGCTTGCGGATCTGCAAGTTCTGGCAGGGTTTCGGGTTTAAGTCGGAGCTTTATCCCCCTGGTGCTTAGTAGGGAATGGGGGAATGGATCCCTATAGTAGTCCCTATATAATCCCCAATGATAGTCCCACATAAGCCATTCCCCCATTCCCTACTAAGAAAGAGATAGTTATATTCCTCAAGCCCTGCTCTTAGGACTCATAGTTTAAGGCTTTTGGGCCTAAAGATCATATTGTGTAAGGCTTTTGGGCCATTTTGAGCCTTAGGGTAAAGCATGCAGGGTTTTAGGATTTGCACTTTTAGTTCCCCGATCTGCCCAGGAAGGCGATCCGAGCCCAGCTCACGAGCTTGGTCGAGGCAAGCGCTGTGAGCAGAAAGGATCGAACGTTAATAGACAAGATCGAGTTAAGGGTTGAGGGTTTAAGGTTTAGGGTTCAAGGTTGAGCATTTAGGGTTTAGGGTTTAAAGTTATTGGTTAAGGGTTTAGGGTTGAAGTGTATTTATCTTTCCCTACCGCCCACTTCCCCTTTAGGAAGACCATACAAACCCAGAGGGTCCATATACACTATTATTTTGGAATTAGGTCCCCAAAACCATGATGGGGATGGTCTTTTAGGGCCTAATTCCATAACAGTAGTGTATATGGACCCTCTGGGAAACAAAACAACATACGAGCGACATTGTAAAACACGGACACACGCTCCAAACCCCTTCACTGAATAGCCGGAGGTGTGTTATCGTTATTCTGATGACAACTAAAGATACTAAAGCCTTCGATAGGTGCAGGATCTTTCCTGCTCAAACTGCAGGCATTAACCTTTCGAACATTGTGGAGGCGGGGCCCACTCAACCCTAGGACTTGGGATTTAGGATATGTAGAGTTCAGGATATATTGATTTAGGATATCTAGGATTTTGGATTTAGGGTTTGGGCTCAGGGCTTTAGGGATTATTCAAAATCCACTGTATTTCATAGGAAGCCCGACGCCTGAACTGTGAGAGCCCGGTGCTGGAAAACCTTGAACCCTAAACCCTAAACCCAAAGCCCTAAACCCTAAACCCTAAACCCAAAGCCCTAAACCCAAAACCCTAAACCCTAAACCCAAAGCCCTAAACCCTAAACCCGAAACCCAAAACCCTAAACCCTAAACCCTCAAGCCGTGAACCTCGCCCTGATCCCCACCCTTTTCGCAGAGCCAGGCCCCCTATAGGAAACTCCAGAAAGCCCTATAATTTTCCATAGAAGGGTTAGGATAATCATATTCCAACTTTCTGGCTTCTGCCTTAAACCCTAAATCCTAGACGCTATTCCGTAAACCCCGACCCAAAACAGCCGTAGATTAGCAATCGTAGTTTGGGTGGTTCCCTACAACAGCTGTGCTACAATATACACTCCGGGGCCGTGAAGGCTGCAGCGGAAGTTAAGAAGGTCTTGAACAAGGTCTGCACAGGCGATGAGCCCCTCAGCATTTGGAATCTATGCCCTAAGCAAGCCGACCTTGAGAAGAGGGCCAATTTCGCGTGACCAATCGGCATTATCAAGACTGCCAAGCTTCTGTTTTCCAGCTTGAGTTTTGGTGAAGATTCCGTTCGCGACCCAAGGCAAGATAACACGACGAAGCGCCGCCGAAAGGCATGCCAGCTTCGGTGTGTCGCGGGCCCGGAACAGATGTATCTTCTGGTCAAGGAGGACTCGCTCATCTGCCGGGACTACAAGTCAAGTATTTGGCATCTGACGGTCTTGTGAATTCTGCGATGCCTTTCTTGTGGTGACCCGCAAAAACCTGCTTCAGTTATGAAGGCCCGTTTTTCTTCATCAAACTCCATCCCCTGAGATTCTTTCCTCGGAAGGCAGGCGGCCCTAAACCCGAAACCCTGAACCCCAAGTCCTAAACCCTAAACCCCAATTCCTGAACCCTAAACCCTAAGCCTAAATCCTAAACCCTGATTAATCTTAAACCTGAATTAAATCCTAAACCCTAAACCCAATGAGTCCTGCATTGGAGGGGAAGCGGGCCGCCGGTGACCAGAGCAGTGCCAGCGAGAGCAGCAGTGACAGTGTGGTGCCCAGCATTTATGTAAACCCTACCTGGGCCTAAAGAAACCTATCTTTTTATGCTCCCTCACTTTCGTTTCCTGTAGGTTCTGTAGCGTCCAGGCAGGGCTAGGTTCTGCTGGATCCAGATAGGATTTAGGGCCTACCTAAAGGGTTCTTGCTTATGAACCCTTATAGCAGCAGTTGGAGCCTTGCCAAGGAACGATTCTTAAATGGCCCTATCCTAACCTTAACGTTCTTACTTTAAACCCTAGTACGGAATTGGTAGGGATTCTACCAAAAAGTAGGTTCTAGTAGGTTAAGGTATCCTAATTGGTAAGGCTCGTACATTATTTTCCCAGCCTCCCAAGCAGGTGTTTGCGGAGCAACTCCCTCCGTTCCCCCGCTCAACTCGCCGTACAATTCTGAATGAGTTGAGGGTGCCGGGTTCAGGAACTAGGGGTGAGGGTTTGGGGGATTTAAGGGATCGTGGCCGCTTGAGCTTTGCTGTGGGCAGGTCGTGCCAAAACTGAGGGACAGTGTAACCCCAGTGACTGCGCCCAGCACCTTGAACCTCTTAAGATGGAAACCCACTGGCCACTAGGACCTCAAAACCGACCGATTAGTATCAAGACGGGTCGAACCCCCCCCCCCCCCGCCCCCCTTCCAGACAAAGAATCCAACTTTCTCAAGCCCAAGCTTCAAAGCCGCCAGCATCCCAGAATCCTGCTTCTGCTCAGATTTCTGAAAGGATAAAGGTTCCGGGGTTTAGGGAGGTTATCAAAATTAGGGTCCCTTTCTGGGTCCCTACTATAGCACGAGACCTATTTTTTTAGGGTACCCCGAAAGGGGCCATAGTTTTGACAACTACCCACATGATTCTCAAAATCCCTCTCCAAATATGTTCAAACTCCCCAAACCCTCAAGCCCCTCCCAACCGCAAACCCCGAACCGTGGCCGTTTTTCTTTCAAGCTTGCTCTATTGTAGAAGCGCCGCCTAGAGGGCATACGGTTCGGAGAGTTCGGTTGCCATGCTCTTGAAGTTGCTCACCGGTGCGGTTGGCTTGACTGCGATCCTCCTGAAAGGATGCGGGGACGCTGTCTACGACACTCTTGACGAAGCCCAATCCGCCGTGTGCGGCGGGTCACAATGCAAGGGCTTCTGCAACTGCTGCGTTGCAGGCAACTTTGGAAACATTAGCAGGGTGAAGGGTTCAGCTATCAGGGAGGTCACAGAGGAAGAGAGCCGCCAGCACTCCAACTTCGGCTACTGCGGTTACCAATTCGACACGAAACCTGGCTCGGAACTTGGGTATCCTTGTCGGCAGGATATCGGTACTGTCGAAGAGTGGTGTGATGATGCTTGACCCCGGCTTCCTTGAGTTCAGCGTCCGAGTCCTGGACCTAGGTTTCACCGCGCTTTTAAGAACAAGAAGCGCTTCGCAGCAAGTTTCTCAGGATTGAATCCTGTGCTGTTGGTTTGAGCCATCGAGTTGGAGGTGGAGATAAGCACTTTTACTATGCTATTGCAACTAATATTACTATTGTATACTGGTATTGGTACTGATAAGCACTTCTACTATGCTATTGCAACTAATATTACTATTACTGGTATTGTTATCAATTAGTGGTGCTGTTGATTGGTAGCCCTCGTCAGTTTCAGCTCCGACCTGCTAAATGGCAGAGTGCGGCAGTGACATGCTGGGGAGTCTTTGACAGCGGCGTAATGCAGGAACCTCAACCTGGACCCCCAAGAGTAGGTAAAATAATGGCCCAAAACCTACAGAAGGCTATTATTCTACATACTTTTGGGGTCCAGGAATTGATAATTCACACGGCGATGCTGCCTGCGCTGGTAAACCCGCAGGGCTGTGATGGAGACAAACCATGATGGAGCTGTAGTTAAAGAGATCCACCCGTCATAATCCTGGTTCCGCCGTGCTGGCATTCCATGAGCACCTGCTGAGCAAGAGGAAAATAAAGAGCCGTTCACAAGCCTGCAACCTGCACCGTTACTGCAAAGCGCAAACCTTGACGCCCGCCAAGAAGAACCCTGAACCGCTCGCCTAAACTCCCGCGCCGACTTCAAAAAGAAAGCTCTCCCAAGGCAGCAACGCCTCCTCTGACAGCACTAGCAGCGCCAGCAGCGGAAAGGTTCGGAAGAGGCAGGAGATTCTGGGAGGCGTATGGCTTATAGTCTTATAGTGTTTAGTTGTGTCGGGTGTAGTGCAGGGCTTGTAGGCCTACTAGTTTTTTTTTCCGGGTGGACTCTATAGGATCTACATTAGTTCAGAGTCTTGGGCATGTACCCAGAGACTCCAAGAGTCCTTATCACTTAATTCGGTCGACATATCTATAGGGGGATTATTCCGTAGGGGTCCTTATCATAACTACCCTTACTTAATTCGGTGAATATAGGGGCATTATTCCGTGTCAGAACGGTGGGTATACTATTCTGTCAGTGCTGAGTTCTAGTTGAGACCAACTGCTGAAGGCGTTGCCTGGGTGACCCTGCAGAACCTACGGTGTTTGACGTGGCTTTTTAACTTTCACGGTGCCGGTTCGAGCTTGAGTTTTTTACAAGAAAAGCCCGAAACCCGAAACCTGAAACCGAACCCTTCATGGTTAATTTCCGAATCGTGACTGAACTGAACCTGTGGCCTTGAACCCCTTCCGAATCCCCGCAGCCTTTCACTCCAAAACCCCAAGGCCTCTTTTCACAAACCCGAGAACTTGTGGTCTTGTCCGGTGGCTGTTTTTATCTCGGAGGTTAACAAACAGATGCCATAGTCAATTTAAGGAACGTTCCGCATTGAGAGGCTTTGAGGCGGCTTGAACCGCACGCCCTCCAGACGAAAGATAATGTAGGAACCCAATTAAGAAACCCTGGGCCTATAACCCCAAAATTGTAGGGTTCATATGAGGAACCCTAATAAAGGCCCAAGGTTTCTTCGTCAGGTTCCTACATTATGCTAACTACGAATGAAGGCCCTTGTATTAGGCACCACCGCATGTGGCCAGGAATTCCGCGAGGAAGCCGAAACCTTTGACGGAGGAGGTGTCGCGGACTTTTCTGCGAATGACCCTAAGCCCTATAATTATGGGTTTTGATAGGATCCATGTACCTACTAATTATATGGGTAGTTCTCTATATTCGGGTCCCTCTTTAGGTCCCCATCAATATAGCACGGCACCCCTATAAACAGGATTGTGAAAAGGGACCCTAATGTACCTAGACCCTCCATCTACCCTCTATTAGATTCTGAATGCCCCCTATTTGGGACCATATACCCCTATTTGAGGGTACAAGGAGGGTCCTGGTAGAGACCCTAATTTTCATAGGGATCCTTAGGGGTGTAGGGGGAGGGGGGTAGGGGGCCTTAAGGCCCATAATAAGGACTAATAAGGCCTATGTAAGGAAATATAGTACCCTACACCCCTCCCCCCTACACCCCTAAGGATCCTTATGAAATTTAGAGAACTACCCATGTTTTCGGTTGCTAAGCAAGGGGCTTCATCGGGCCTTCCTTAGAGGGACCCATCGGATTCTGAGGGATGCAGGATTGATTGGTCTTTAGGGTTTTGGGGTTTAGGGTTTAGGGTCTTTACGGCTCTTCTATAGGATTTGAGGTCAAGAGTCAGGACTTTAATGGACTTGATGTCTATCGGGTCTGGGGCTTTTGGGGTGCTTAAAGGATCATGGGACCTAGTAAGTAATTAGGGTTGTTATCAGGGTAGCTGGATGTAGAATTACTTACAGCCCTGACGGTGCTCATGATTATAACGTTTCACGGAGCGCGAGCTCGCCAAGGGCGTGGGGGACTTCTTGCAGGCTTTGCGCACCGCGTCGCATAAGGCCCCGAAGCCTGTTGCATGTGACGCAGCGAGCTCTGACAAGCAGCCGGGCCCAGCAGAGCATGTTGCCAACACAACGGCTGCTGTGCAGGAGGAGGAGGCTGAGGATTCCCCTTCTGCCGAGGAATGGGATTTGAACTTTCCAGACGATTGTCTGGCATACCTAGAACATTTTTTTCCAGCCGCGGACGCGGAGGCCTTGGATATTAACCCCGCCGCCTTCGAGAAAATCTCTCGGTTCTTCATTAATGCGAGGAGCACCTCCAAAATCGAGTGCCCAAGGAACCCTTAAGCCTTATCCGTACAATTTAGAAACGAAATTATCCATCCGGTGGTGAAGAACAGCAAGGCCAAAAGGCGAGACTGGCTGCAGGCCTTCGCCAAGGCAAGGCAAATGCAGTTTGTACAGGTACCAAAGAAAAGCAAGAAGCCCTGAAAACATGTGACTTCCGACTGACTGTGTTCAAGGGTTTTGTCCATTCCGCGCCCCGTCGTGGGCCCATAGGAGTTCCGTGCTAAACGAACAGCCAAGACTTCGAAGAAATACCTGAAGTCCTACACTGTAATAGGACTTGCGTCTGCATGGCGAATCACGAACCACCGTACTAGCGGTTGTGTTAAGTCGTCCCGCCTTGTGTGAAGTGATCCCTTATGCGCGTGGACAGGGGGGTAACCATATCCTGGCCCTATCGAGTTAATGAAGCTATATTCGTAAGTAGTCATGGAGTTTTGGCTTGTGTTTGTTTTAGATGGGTTTTAGCGGCCGTCCGGATCTTGTCGCTAGGCTTCTCCTTGCGTGTAGATCGCGATTCAAACGTTTCACGTTCGAACTTCAAAGATTGGTGGATGCGAAAACCTTTCAGAAACCTGTTTTGTTTCTATAGAAATACAAGATTGAATAGGTTTTACGAGCAAATACAGAGTTGAATAGGCTTTGAGAGGAATACGGGTTTGAATAGGTTTTAGAGAGAAATACAGAGTTGAATAGGCTTTTAGTGAAACACAGGTCTGAATAGGTTTCACAAACAAATACCGAATTCAATAGGTTTTTTCAACGACAAATACATGGGTGCTTCTGAAATCGAGCGTGTGCATGGGGAATGGCTGGTTTTCGTGCGCTGCGATGCCAATGATGTGTGTCTTGAGCGGGTGCTTCGGAGCGTGTAGTTGGGGAATGGCTGGTCTTGAAGTACTGTGATTCTACTGCTGTTTGTGTTGAGCGAGTGCCTGTGAAATCAAGTGCCTACATGGTGATTGTAGCGATGTCCATGTACTTTTGTTCGACTTGACCCCCTAAACCACGGCGTCTACTTGGTGATTCACACAAACTGCACGACTTTAGTCCGGTTTCCGGAAGGCATAAGAGTACATCTATATCTCTGCATGTATGCGTGCAGATGGGGGAAGACCCAAAGCCAGGACTTAGCAATGACTTTTGAAATCTTGCGCCTAGATGGGGGGAGAGTCCAAAGCCAAGCAAGATCTAGAATGACTTGGTTTCGAGCTCTTGGTGTAAGTTGTAGGGCTGTCCGGGTGCAAGTGTACAGATCAAGGTTGATTGTGCATGTCTGCATGATAACAAGACCACCCAAAAACCTAAACCCTAAACCCCTAACCTCCTAGACCCCTAACCTCCTAAACCCCTAAACCCCTAACCCAAGATCTTTTTCGGTTTGCAGTTTCCAACTTGTGGATGGGATTTGCTGTCAGTTGCAGCATGTTCATTGAAGCTAAAACAAAAGGATAGTGGTTATGTAGGCTACTATTTGGGAGACTATGACTATGCATGCTTACCAGTTACTAGGTATTTGAACCCTTACCCAGACCCCCGGGAGGATCTGGAAAGTTAGATCCCCTCATTTGGGGCCTTATACTACTAAGGGTACTTTGTGGGAACCCCGATTAAGGGATCTACTTTCTGGATCCCCTAAACCATAAGCCACTACTTGGGACAGGATGTATGGATACCAGTTACTAGGTACTTGGATCACATACTCTCCAAAATCCTAACCTACATAACTATTATTCTAAAGCCGAGTACCTAATTGGGTCCTTTGGACCCTTAGGGTTAGGGAAGTGTCGTGCAGGAGCGTGCAGCTGGTCCTCCAGTCGGAAAGGCTCCTTGCCTGCGCTACATTGGGGTTTAGGGTTTAGGAGTTTAGGGCTTTAGGGTTTAGTGTTCAGGGGTTTAGGGGTTAGGGGTTTAGGGGTTTAGGGTTCAGGTCTCAGGGTTTAGGGTGTAGGGGCTTTGGGGTTTAGGGGTTTAGGGTTTAAGTTTTAGGGTTTTGGCGACGATGTTGATGGGTTCTTGAGGGCCTTGGGTTGTAGAATGCCGATGTTGACCGTGATGATGACTCGTAACGATCATGATAAGAAGAAGATGATGATGCAGGTGGCGATTAGGGATACCTTGTTTTGTGGTCCTTATAATAGGGATCCTACTGTTCAGGGTACTACATTAGCTTAGATAGTGAACGGGGCAACTTTAAACTTTTACGCCATACATATATAT